TAACTCAGTGATAGCTAATTCAATGCCAGTAACCATCTAACAATTACCCATAAAAATAATCAAGATTCACTTTCATTTTAGTTTTCCATAATAGAATTGGTTAAAATTTGAGCTCAACGATTTTTAATGAACAGATTAAAATTCATCAACTTGGACAATAAATTAACATTCAAACCAATCAAAGATTGTCGTGAAAAATGTCTCTAATCAGTAGGACTTTTCATTCTCTATACAAAATATAAACTCACATTATTTAGGATCATCAAGTGGATTCCCCGATCATGACTGATCGTAAAGTCCTTCTAGTAGGAAACAATATATCCACATCGAGAAGACCCAAGTTCCTAATGAACAAAAACCATCACCAGAATAAGAAATACAAAAATAAAATCTTAATAAAACCTTTCTTTAAGCAGAAACTTCTTTTGAGTTGAGAGTTTTTGCTTTTGTTGGTTGTATGGGCTGAAAACTGGGTCAATTCGTGCAATAAAAAAGATTCCTTGATCGACACTCTTCAAAGTTACTTCGATCTCCTTTTGTACATTCGAGGCACCAGATTTTTTTGTCAAACTCTTTACTTGTTACTCAAGAGACAAAGTTTTACATAATCCCAATCTAACAATAAACCACCAACCTTAATAACCAAAGTAGTTTCCGTCTTTTAGAAATGTTATTGAATATGGATTCTGTAATTTCCCCCAAGCCTCTATTTTCATGAATTTATCAGAATTGAGATTCTGAGATTAGATTTCACATTTTTCGTTTGTATTGTTGAATCAATGTTTTTGCAACAAACATTAGTTTTGTGTAATTTTTGTCTTCTTAAAACCCTTTCCATTTGGCCACAATTTTGACCCAAAAATTTGATACATTGACTTTTATACATTGTGTGTATGGATCATCCATAATGGATGTATAAATTGAGTTGGATTAAGCTGTCTTACTCAAAGTAAAAAGACTAAAAATACATCCACTATAATCTCTTTTCTCAACGGTAAATGTTATATAAGCTATTAGTGGAAATTAATAACCTTTCAATTATTAGTTTCCAATTATAATTCAATTGATTCTGCTTAGAGCTGAAAATCAAAAAACAACACTTACGATGAAACACTACGTTCGATAACCTTATAACAAATTTGGTTTAATTTAATCAAATCAAAACCATTACTGTTAAGTCACTGGTAAAAATTTGATGCCTATCGGAAGAGGATTAAGACTCTGAAGTTACAGTGACTACAAACCAATTTGTCCTCATGATAAACATGATTATTATAAATATTAATCATCTTAAGACTAAATCGATATTCAAATGAAAACCTCTCAACGACTAAACCCATTTCATCAATTTATACTAATTTCATCTCATCTCTAAGCAAATGTAATATCAATTTAAAAATAAAGCTAAAATTTATAAGATTTTAAGATTTGAGTCTAGACTGAAATGTTTCAAAAGTTGATCCTCTTTGAATTTACATCAATTGATAGATTGCTCTTGATTGCATGGTAATTGGTAAATCAGTTTATAAGATGTCCAGTTGAGATGTTGGTTGAAGACGAGAAGAAACTGGAAGAAAATATAATTTAGTTGAAAAATTATAAATATTGCGATAGAATGCAAAATATGCTGAAAATATACTATTTTAAGTGAATTGTATTGATATTAAAAGGCTTACCATTGAAAAAAGTGAAGGAATTGAAAGCTTTTGACAAAATCCTAAGCCAGTTGAATATCACAGGCTATAGTCAGGGTGACAGGTTTGAAAGCTAACTGTATTCACATGTGAAATTTTGAACAATTAGGAGGAAAAAAAATTATTAATAAATGTCAATATCGTAATAAAGAGTTACTTACATTATATCAACTAGTGTCAATTTCCTATTCTTATTGTAATCAGTCGGTGTAAATAATATGTAATAATATTGATCTATTCATGGAGAGGATAAAGGAGAGAGAAAAAAGAGATAAATAAATGAATAAGTAACATGGTAATTTCAGTTGATGGCGAGTGAAGCCTGCAAGTTGGTATCAAGTTAGACATCAGAGGTTATATTCAGAAATTGTGTTGAAATTATGGTTAAATTATAAATTGTTTTGCTGTTTCAAGATCAATTACATATCCACCTACTTGATTTCATCAGCATTTCATTTAATTTCCATTTCTTAAGGCTATTGGATTGGGTTAATCACAGTAATCCACGTGAGCCTGATGAGATTAGGAGTGAAGAAAGCGAAAGAATAACATTGAATTGAATATAAATCATGATAATTATTAAGTTACCCAACGACCAGCAAGTAAAATTGCTAGGAGACATTGGATTTACTTTATCCATGTAAATATTAATCATAACCATTCATGTTACCTGCACATTAGCATCATATTAAGTCATATTAGCAAACATTCATAGTTGCTATCTGAAGGCTTGTATTTCAATTTAATAATGGTTATTAAGATGATTACTTTTAACCTCTTCCATGATTAGTATCTTGTATCAAGGTACCAATTTACTGTTACTGAAACCGTTTGTGACTACCTTATCATACATACGTTTTTAGGCGAATGGTGAAGATAATGAGCTTTTTTGAAATTAAATTTCTCTAAATGTTCCTTTGATTCCAATATTCAGAGCAAGGTTTTGCAATGTACTGCGAAAAGCCTGGAAAGATGATGATAGTGTTGGGCTTATTGGAAGGTTTGTTGTCCTCTGATTAGTTGAATACCTTGTATTAATACATTAACTCCATTATGGTTGTGGTTTATAAATAAATTGAAGGTTGAAGGTTATGAAGTTGGATTGAAAATGCTGAGGATTGACTGAAAAGAGTGAGGATTACTTGGAGTGAGAGATCACTTGAGATCAAGTTTGGTCATAAAGTTGTTGACATATGTACGATTGAATAGAGTTACAGGAAATCAAATTCGTTTCCATGATTCGATTATTTTTAGATTGATCCA